CACAATAAATCGTAATCCTGGCTGTTAGAAAGACAGTCGTGGGTGCCAAATAGGTCTTTATCCTATTTTATCATACAGCAATTACAGACCCACTTCAGTATGAGCTAGCTTCTGTATCAGATATTCTTACCTTGTCAGCTGTGGAAAATATATGTGGGAGTTCATGTTATAAAGAGACAAACGGTACTTTATTAATCTTGAAGATTTTGGACAAAAGCATAGATATCAGAGTTTAATTTTTCCTATGTTTTATCTGTGTCTTCCAGTTGATAGCTAGGCACTTCCACAATTTTAACCAAGTTAGTGGAGTTCTTACCCCCTCCTGTAACTGGACTTGCTCTCAGTATGGGTGGCCTGTGCTGAGTTGATCGTAAGTGGGTTTCACTTACCGTGGCTGAGCCAGTAGGACATAGGTGGGCAAACCGTCCTGCCCGGCCCCTGAGCTCCCGGCCGGGGAGGCTAGCCCCCGGCCCCTCCCCTGCTGTCTCCCTCCCATCCCCCGCAGCACAGCCTTCCCTACCCGGCCCTCCATCCAGTTTTGCAACCCCAATGTGACCCTTGGGCCAAAAAGTTTGCCCACCCCTGCAGTAAGAGGTGTTCTGAGCTAGTCTCCACTGGGAATCATCTGCCCTAATTGTGAGCATGTCTAACCTCCTGCATAACACAAGCCATAGAATTTCACCTAATAATTCCTGGAAGGACTTTATCCTTCCCTTCTATCTAATTTAACCTCTTAACCTAGTGTCTTTTCCTGTGCAGGTCAGTAACAGAATTGGTACTCCTCAGTGCTGTGTTTGAGTCCTGTGCCATTTATTTCTCAATACTCTTCCCAAGTTACAGATAAAATGTATTTGTTTTATATCTACATAAAATACCAAGTCCGTTTCTGTCTACTGTGTGGATGAGATGATTGGAATAAATGACAAATCAAAGGATCGTTTAAACGTTTGGTTCCTAAATCATCTGTATTTCTTGAATATCAATATTTTATGAAGAGGAGATGCTTGGAGGAAATGCTACCGGATTATGGATATACCGGTATCTTCTTTTCTTGGAATAACTAGAATGACTGAAATGGAACTTCTGAATGCAAGTGACACTACATGCCTCAGGACGAGGAGGTTAACTTTGCATTGTGAAAAATAATTATTTAGTAACTACTAATTATTGCTTTTTTTAATGTGAAAAGTATTTTACATGAATTGTTGGTTACTACATAAAACTTTGTCTCTGGGCTAGTCTGCATCAGATTATAGAGATCTTCCTCCTCCAGGTATAAGGTATTATTCATGTCATATTACATTTAATTGGATTTAAAGGCCTGTAAAGATGTCTGAATGCTAGTGCCCAGGGAGACTTACAGTAGAGAGAGAGACACCTCTTGACAAGGTTCCAGGCTTGTCACAGAGCAGAGAAAGTCACAGATGCATGATTTCTCTGTCTGTGACTTCCTGCAGGAAGGCTCTAGGTGGGTTGCAGCCCGATGCAAAGGGGAGGCCCCATGTGGAGAGAAAAGTTGGAGAGGAAGTCCACCCAGCATTCACCCTTCAGCAACGGCTCCTGTGTCTGCAGGGCTGGGCCAGGCTCCATGCTCCCCGCGTTGTAACAGGGCACACAGGGTCACAGCACTACTCTCTCAAATTTGGCTTTACTGTCCGCTTCCTTCCTCCTGTCATGATGGAGGGGCAGCAGAGCCAAACCTGAACAAATGGCACTGTGACCCATATGCCAGTTTGCAATGTCTGGAGTGGGTAGCTGGGCCCATACCTGCAGGACACAAGAGCAACTACTGCCCATGCCTGGGGTGAGCGCCGAGGAGGCTCACTCTTCAGCCCCTCCTGCCTCGGGGCCTCCTCACCTCACCGGAGTAGATTAGGGTTGCAGTGCTGGCATGTAGGGTGCTGCCGCAGGTGGTCATTTCCCCCTCATTTGTCTGGGCATTTTTTTATCAAATATCCCAGAGCAATCACTAAACCCATGACTTTTACTACATTTACCTGATTGCTCCATGATTTTTTTTTTTATTAAAAAAAAAATCCTATGACAAATCTGCAGCCCTAACAATGCACAAGTCAAGGGCCTATGAAGGAGCTTAATAAATTAGCAAGTGAATAACAAGTTCTTCAGAGAATAATTAGAAATGACTGCATCAGTCATCTTTAGTTGGTTAATTATTTCCAGCTAGGATCTCCAATATCTCCATGTGTCGCTACCTAGCCTTATTGTAGAAAATCAGAAAGTTCTATGGTGTAAAGGATTAGTATGGAAAACTCCTTTAGGGTTTTTTTAACATTACAGATGGCTGGAAATAAATGAGAATAATATTCTAATGTAAAAGGGAACTTATGTTTTTTTTGTTTGAAAATGAGGTCTAAGTAATGAATGCAAAAGTCTGTATGGATTTCAAAACCCCTTTTGTGATGATTGATTTGTGTCTTGACATTTGACATGGCATTCTCTTGAACCTTCTAATGACATAAAGGGCAGATATCATACTATGAATAGGGAGCTTGTTTTTGCCTTAGAGTTGAGACACATTGCTTTTTATTCTAAATTTTCTCATTTTAATTGCAAATATTGAAATTTCACATTTTAGACTGTAGAACAAGCACAGATCAATTTTAACTTAGCCATATGTACATTGGATATCATTGCGTTTAGTGTGCCAATAATACATATATTGCCAGTATTCTTCCCTGTTTGAAGAGTTTGTTTTTATTCTGTGGCTTGTATACCTTGTGTGTATATATTATGATATAGTCTTTAATTACATGTATCAGCGGGGTAGCCGTGTTAGTCTGAATCTGTAAAAAGCAACAGAGGGTCCTGTGGCACCTTTAAGACTAACAGAAGTATTGGGAGTATAAGCTTTCGTGGGTAAGAACCTCACTTCTTCAGATGCAAGTTGGCAACCCTATTCTTGCATCTGAAGAAGTGAGGTTCTTACCCACGAAAGCTTATGCTCCCAATACTTCTGTTAGTCTTAAAGGTGCCACAGGACCCTCTGTTGCTCTTTAATTACATGATCACATACTATTTTTCAGCATTCTACATTTTGCCTCATTCAGAGAATAGGATGGATGTGGTTAGGAATGTAACCTCAGCCAGAGCCCCCCTTCCATGCTCCAACCCCTTAACCCAGCCCTAATCCCCCTCCCACTCTCCAAACCCCTCAGTCTCAGCCCCACCCCACAGCCTGCACGCCCAGATGGAGCCCTCTTCCAATCCCGCACCCCAACCCCTTGAGCCAGCCTGGTGAAAATGAATGAGTGAGTGACGGTTGGAAGAGCGAGCCACAGAGGGAGGGGGGATGGAGTGAGTGGAGGCGGGACCTCAGAGAAGTAGCAGGGCTTCTAAAGAGGGGCAGGGCAGGGGGCAAGGACGTTCCTGTTTTATGCAAGTAGAAAGTTGGCAACCCTATTCTGGACATGTCATTAAAACCAACATTTTCACATGTTCTGTTACCCACTATGAAGGCAGATACGCCTGAGTTTCCTCAATTTACAGATAGCATAGAAAAATACTAACATTTGTCAGACTTTCCAGAATGTAGTGTGGCTAAGTGGCCTACACTTTTAACCTCTCAGTAAGATATAAGGTCTTCCTCAGTAATAAGAGATGTAAAAGGCATATAATTACTAATATCAGACAGTAGCAGAGGAGAATGTAAGAATCATGGTCTCCTGGTTCCCAGCCCATTGCACCTTCCCCTAGGCCAAAGGATATTTTGATGGAGGAAAGTAGCAGGGAGGAGAAAATGAAGCATCACTTTGCTTGTGTCCTGTCTGGAGGATCAGCTACATATAATGTGCTGAGGAGAGATTCGGAGACAGTCTATGCACAGTGCTGATAATATATTATGCGATTTTAGCAGTCAGTCTGTAGCAAGTGCTATTGGGAAAGCACAGAGAGAAAATGGTGATTTTCAGCATCTTATAGCTCAGTCTAGTCTGAATGGATTTTCATAGAGAGAGCAAAAGGCACCTCTTTAACTCCAGGACTGTCCTGTTGCCAAAATTCAAAGTACTGTTGCAAACCACGTAACTATTAGAGCTCTTAAAAAAAAATTTAAAAAGGAAACTTTTTTTATAATGGAAAGTGCTAGACAACCTAAATATTGGGGTCACTACCATTCCGCATGTAATAAATGTATATACTTCAGCATTTAAAATCTTCAAAGCACTGTGCAAACATGGTCTAGTTAATCTCAGAGCACCTTTGTAATATAGAGAAATGTTATCTGTCATTTACAAATAGGGAAATAAAGTGACTTTGGCAAGCGTAATTGAGATTCATTTGACAGAACTAGCACTAAAATAATGACTCCTCATTCCTAATATCTGTTCTCTCATCACAGACATACAGGAGTACTCTTCACATAAGAAAGTCATGTACTCTATAAGTCTGACATATGACTGACCAAGGAAACTGAGGTCCTGTAGTACAGTGGTTCTCAAAGCCAGTCCGCCACTTGTTCAGGGAAATCCCCTGGCAGGCCAGAGCAGTTTGTTTATCTGCTGCATCCGCAGGTTCAGCCAATCGCGGCTCCCACTGGCCGCGGTTCGCCGCTCCAGGCCAATGGGGGCTGCGTGAAGCAGCGCGGGCCGAGGGATATGCTGGCTGCCCTTCCTGCAGCCCCCATTGGCCTGGAACAGCGAACCGCAGCCAGTGGGAGCTGCGATCATCCAAACCTGCAGATGCGGGAGGTAAGCAAAATGCCCTGGCCCACCAGGGGCTTTCCCTGAACAAGCAGCAGACCGGCTTTGAGAGCCACTGCTGTAGTATCTCATTACTCTGGTTATGGATGCATCAGAAATTGAGATAGCAGGCTAGCATTTTATCCTGTTCTGCTAATCAATTTTATAGAAACTATTCTTCATGGAATTAAGAAGTTATTGATATCGAGACTCAAATCTCTGCTAAAGAGGCGGAGTTCAGTCAGTTTGGCAGCGATAATTTGTTGGTAAAGAAACCTCAACTTGATGTTCTTATTGTTCCAGCTGGCCTTGCTGAATTTCTTCCTCCCTGAAGAAAAAGTGCATCTTGAAGAAGAAAAATTGCATCATGTCCGCCGAACTAAAAGGAGTAAAAGTAGTGAAGGACCTGATGGTGAGTTTGTCTTTATTTCTTATGGTTGTGTTTCTCATTTTCACAGACAAGTGAGGGACAAGCAGTTTTTTCAGGTAGTGAATAGATAGTGGATTGTGTAAGTTAACAAGGGAACTCCTGTCTCGTAGTGCCTCCCTGAACTTACTTGGCATCCAGATCATTAGTACCGTAAATTACTGTTTCACACTATACAGTCTAGTAAATGATATTAAAATTAATATCCTAACCAATCGTTATTTGCCCCAACTATCATTATTTTTTATAATCACCATTGATTCAGTAAGGAGATTCATCTTGTCTAACAGTAAAGCCTTTGGCTTGCTTACTGATATGGTTTGTTCATATAATGCCTTTGCTCCCTATTTCCTTAAAATCCATGTTCAATAGGTTGTTGTGCAGGCTAAACAGCTGTGAACAGCGCTACAGTACAGAATGAAAATGTGTTGTAACTGGGATGCTGCATGTGGTTGTAGAATAGATGGGTCCAAGCTCCACACCACTTAACCCCTAAATACTTAATGTTCTTTGAGTGTTTGTGCACATATATATTGTACTTCAGGTGTGCATATACCCTGGGCTTTTGGTCATAAATTGAGGTGGCACATACATCCTGAGTGTCTTCCTGCTTCCAACCAAGGTCAGAAAGAGGTGGGGCCACCCTAACTCCCTCTCCGTTCCTTGTCAGCTCACAGCTTGATGCCTCATAGCTTACTGTTATTCAGCACTTATCAAAGCTCTTTTATAAACTTAGTTTATATAGTAATTAGTCAGTAGTTAAATAGAGAGAGGTTTTTTTGTTAGTGTTCCTTTTTCCCTGCCTGCTTTTGAGAGAATTCTCTCCCTTTTTTTCTGGATTGGTATGCAAGCACTTCTTCCTTTGTTTAGGATGCCAGTGAGAAAATCCCTGGGTTTTAAAAATTGTCTGTCCTGTCAAGCAGCCATGCTTGTAAACAATGGGCACACAAGGTGCTTGTTGTTGTTGTTGTTGTTGTTGTTGTTTTAGAAGAAGGCCACATTTCAGAGAGATGCACTGTATGTAGAAGAACAAAGAAATCTAGAGAGAGCAGACTGAGAATATACCTCATGAAAAACTTCACACATCCAACCTTGTATCTGGGTCACTCCCAGAATACTAAGCACCCAGATTATGTTTCATTGAGGAGTGCTTCATAAGCCTTTTTACCTTCAGTAGCCATTCTGATTTTGAAGACCTCATCCTGTGAAAGAGGGAGAAATCCCCAGAAGTCCACTAGAGAGAAGAGGCATCAATCACAGTCTCTACAGCCATCATCTAAAGCCCTTAAGTCATCTTATACATCAAGGGGAGAAAGTATTGCTCAAAGTCCAGGAGAGACTTCTTGACCAGCCATTCAGCTCATAAACATGAGGCCTGAGTAGCAACTGCGAACTTACCTGAATTTGGCACTGAGCAGACTTCATCAAAGGACCTAGTACCGCTATCTTCTACTGCAGTTGTTCAATTTCTTCCAGTACAGATAATCCCAGTACCAGTGATTTTGATACCAGCTAGGTCAACTCTGATTACTCTCTCAGCACTGAATAGCTTGGTATCAGCAATTGCTTTCCACCCCATATTCTGTACAGCCCTTCCCATTACTGACTCTATTGGTACTGGCTACACCACAATCATATATAGTAGCTAGAGATCTCAGCTGAGTTTGCATCAGTCAGGAGTACTAATACCCACTATGTACAGAGTTTACCAACTGTCCTGCCTGAAGAATATTCCTTCTGATCTTCAGAGTCAGGGAGCAGCAGGGAAGCCTTTCCCGTCGCATCATTGGGTTACAGACTTTTGCTTTCCTTGACAGCTCATCATTCCAGAGAGAACTTAAAAATGAACCTCAATGGATCCCATTCCTTATATCGTCCTCTTCACCAGATGAAGCTATTGCTCCTGAGCCTATACCATCTATGCCTAATGACTATAAGTCATTACAGGAGCTCATAAGGAGAGCGGCCTCTGATCTGGAGCTCCTGTAGAAGTTGTCCAGGAGAACCCTCACAGGCTACTAAACATCTTGCCCTGGTTGAGTGGCACTGCCTATCAATGAAGACCTCTTAAATCTCACTAGATTGTTATGGCAGGCCTAGCCTCCATACAACCCACATCTAAAAAGGCTGATCAAAGTTACCAAGTTCCAGCACAGGGTTTTGAACAATTCTTCTTTCACCTGGTGCCAGGATCATTAGTAGTGATGGCTGCAAATGAGAGATCTAAGCAGGGACAACAAATATCTACACATAGGGACAAGGAATCGTGCTAGAAAAAGCAACTCTATGGTGAGCTTATAAATGAGAATCGCAAATTACCAAGCGGTTCTCTCCAAATATGACTATACTAACAGGGATTCCCTTACAGAATTTACAGACAAATTGCCCACAAGCTCAGAGAGGAGTTTGTCTTACCTGGCCAAGAGCCAGGTAAATAACCATTTCTTAAAAGCCTGAGCCAAGCAAATAAAAAACAGCACCAGAAATGTAAGTCTCTATCAACTCATCAGCCTGGTGAAAAATAAAGAAATCAAGATTTGGGTCTGAAACCACAGGAGTGGAGACCCTTGGGTTTTTTAATCGTGTCTTTTGACACTATAGTAGAAACACTACTTTGCACTATAGTAGAAACAGGTTGAATGTAACCAAAATTCGTCTCATTCATCTGACATGGTCACAGGTAATATAGTTCAGTACATCCATGCTAAAGCATTTCCCCCTGTATACCTCCAATGTTGCACAACCATGTTTGCATTGATGCATTTTTGGAAAATCTGGGCAGGTATCGCATACTCCCTCACCTGATTTGATTGTGGACATCTTTCATATAATATAATGTAGTTTGTGTTGTGTTTTGGCATGGATATGTGAAAGGTTAGCAGGATTCGCTAACTTGGGTACATAGAGATGAGTAATTAGAAGAAACATTCTTCAAACTGTTCCCTAACCCTGGAATAGCATCATACTTCCTGTGCATCAGTCAACTTCACTTGTCTATTCTTCTTGCCCTCCCTCAGTCTTTATTTCAAAATATGAGAATCTATATATATAATTCATTCATTATGCAGTGATTCACATTCTTGGTTGTAACACTTGTTCCTTCTTTCCCCACCCCTTTAGTTTGTCTATCTTCACGTTTTGAGTTGGTCTGCTTACAATTGTAAACTCTTTGGAGTAGGGGTTGGGTTTTTTTATAATTTCTTTCAAACTCGATACAAAACATAGTGCTATATAAATGATTATGAGTAATAATAACCTAACTACAGCTTGGCAATTGCTACAGCCTAGCCCCAATAACTTCCAGAATGGTGGGGTTGTGGAAAGGTCAGCTTTGACCCCACCTCTCTTCCTCAGTTCACCTACCAGAACTATGGTTCACCTGAGGATTAAGGTTTTAGTCAGT